CACATCCATTATATATATATATACAGCGAAAATATTCGGGTATTACCCGCGTCAGGTACCCACCCTAACACGCATCGTCCGATTGTGAGTTGAGATTCGCGCTGGCGCTGCGGACGTGTACTAACCGGTTCCACTTAAGCTTGATATTGACACGCTGGAAGCAACGTGTACTTGCCCTCTCCGCTCTCCATGCTCTCCGAGCCGGCCTTGTCCGATTTCAGGGGACGTTTGGTTCCGGCCACAATTTGCCGGAGTGTTCGGCTGGCTGGCACGTTTTTTTATTTAGCCGGAGCAATGTTTTTTCCTCACAAAATCCAGTATGAACAGTAACATCCAGCGTGAACAGTATCCATTTCAGTCCAGCCTGCCATGACTAATGTTAGGCACTAGTTACATGTGTGGTTTGTCATAATCTGTGATAAAAACAAGTTGTTTGGTTTATGACTAAGGTTTGGCAAAATAAGTGTAGCTGTTGTTTAGATTCCTGTCACAAAAACTTGGCAAAATATTGTGGCATATGTTTAGTTTGCAGTCACATATACCTCAATGCCACAGTGGTAAGACACCCATGTACCATACAACAATGGCCCTGTTTGCGTGCCCTTAAACTCGACTTGATCCGCTTATTTTTTTATCCGGAATAGTGTTTTCCCTCATAAATTCCTCCAGCATTCCTCCAAATCATCCAGATTCATCCAGAATTCAGACAAGCGAACATGCCCAATATATATTACAGCAATAACAAAAAGTAACAACTAGCATATGTTTCAATAATATTACAAGCACAAAATACCATCTTCATAAATACATTCTAGGAGGTTTAAGCCAAAGAGGTTTAGATTAATTACAAAAGCAGCAATCAGCCATGCATGCATCAGCCAAAATGAGCACACACATCCTAAGCCATCAGTCATCACCACAACCAAAATAATCACACAGCCAAGTTGTTGGGCATGCCACAAAATATGAACAGCCACCCTCACAAGCTAAGCTTCACAGGTTAATGCCTTCATTCTCACATAAGAACTTGAACACCTAAGCATACAGAGTATTAGCACTTGCATTACACAACTAGCCATGCTTATCTTTATTCTCCTTGGTAGACAAATGTTCACCAACAAAAGCCCCCTGATCTGGTGTCATTGGGATTGCCTCTAGTCTCTGTCATAATGCTGCATGAGGATCAGTAAGCTGTGGCATTGGGGGAGGGTCAATGGCAGCGAGTGTTTCCCGAAGTGACTTCATTGTAGCGCTAATTTCATCAGTGGAATCTGCAAAACGGCTCTTTTTGGCTTCTTAGTTGGTGAGTTCTTGGCTCTTGGACGCTTCTTGCTAGCTTGACTAGTGCAGGAAGATGTGTTGTCAACCATTGCATGCCTAGTTGGAGTTGGCAAAGTGTCTGAATCCTCACCTTCTAAATCTTCAGGTTGTGTGTAGGTATTCAGGTCAAATAGTTATCTTGAGTCATCACTATCTAAACCATCAGCAGCATCCATGCATGTGTTCTGGTCTATAGCCAAAGATCCATCAATATTGGATCCTATGAATAGTTCTCTCATCTCATTGAAGAACTTGATGGGCTTCGCAAGCAGGCGTCTTGCTCTGTCCTGCATTCATGTGAAAAGTGAAATTCAGTTTATATTCATGCGAACAAGTGAATTGATTTCATATTCTAAAATAGAATATATTCAGTACAAACAACTTACACATAATTTTTCTTTTTCAGATTCTGAAATATTCACCATGCATCTTTTTTCATCAAATGTATTGCCACGATTGCTCAATGTTGTTGCAATGTACTTCCAATTTTTTCTATGGTGCCTATAATGACAGACCACTTGATCAACAGTCACCCCCATAGTAAACTTATTTAAATCATTGGCACACAACATGAGATGTGCCTTCTTGAACTTAAATCCTGCATGTTGTTTTTTCAAATACTCCGTGCACCACTCTAGCATGTACTTTGACTGATCCTCATGCCAGTTCACGGACCTCTTACGAGAGGATGTAAAAGCATTAGCCTTAGCCTTTCCCTTGGCCATGGCTGTTTCACATACAAGAGACTTAAAATCATACAAGTGACTGTACTAGTACTCCCTTCCAAACAGTAGCCTACAAGTGACACTACTAGTAAAGAGACATTTGAAGGACGGGCCTGGTGCAAGCGGTAGAGTCTTACTGTAGGATCTACAGGAAGATAAAGGAGGCCTAGAGGGGGGGTGAATAGGCTTGTAAAAATTCAACTCAAAACTCTATTAGAACAGAGGGCGGCACTGCTGGCCTTACAGGGCGGCACTGCCGCTCTACAAAAAATAATCTAACACAGTTGAGATTTAACAGATATTAATCTAACCCCACTAGCTGCTTAATCCTGTAATATAAAGTCAAGATCCAGTTCGAAGACTGGATACCACAGAAACTTCACACAACAGTGAATCGAGCAACTAAACCCTAACAACAGCTGGCAGTAAGGTAACCAGCAAGTATAGTAAAGATGAAGCACACGAAATACAAGATTTATCCCGTGGTTCAGCTCACCACTAAGGTTTGCCTAAGTCCACGTTGTTGAGGAAGCCACAAAAGGCTTGAGCTTGCCACCAAGGCTTGCCTTACCCTCATTCTCAAATCAAGAGAGTGAACTCTTGAAGTGAGGGGTGATTTCTTAGCTTTTGAATGAGGTTACAAACCTCCCAAGGTTGCCACACAAGTTGGCAAGCACAAGGGCGACGCCTAGCCGGCTAGGAGCAAGCTCCAAGAGTAACAAACCCTAGAACCGCCAGCCAAACATGAACCAAATGCTCTTAGACTTTGGGAAACAGTGGATCTTCTCTCCAATCGAGTTTTGCTGCCTTTTCTCTCAAGTTTTGATGGTTGGTGTAACAACCCGGGTTTTTGAGAAGCCAAAAATACGAAATTTTAAAATTTTTCCTGCAATATGTGGAGCATGTAGATGCTAGGTCAAACAAAGAACAATTTATAAATAAATTGTTGCATACATATAGCGTTGCTTGTAGGAGCTTGCCGGAGTTTTTGATCTGGATTTGGGTTTCGTGTCGGAGTGCACGATCCGTAGCAACCCCTCTTAATTTCCTTTTGGAATATCTCATAAATCCCCGTTACATTTCTTTTGAACTCATATGATCCGAAGTCATAAAAATCACACCTCTCCGATTATTTTTGAACTCCTTTTGAAATTCATTGTATTGTACTACAATTTCTCTTTATATTCCACGTAACCTCTCTTAAAAACTCATTCAAATTTCTTGAAACAATAAAAGGAAAAAATCCTTTTCCTTTTATACCTCCAAGCCCACCATCCCCTTTCCCTTGGCCCAGCCTGGCGCAGCAGCCTAGCCTGGCCCGGCTCCTCCCCTTCGGCCTGCCCCGCCAGCGCCTTGGCCCAACCAGCGCAGACAGCCGGCCGGCCCAGCAAGCCGCGGCCCAGCCTGGCCAGCAGCCAAAACCGGCGCCCCCCTTGCCAACCCTAGGGCAGCGCCCTGGCCTCCAGGTGCTCCCAGCCGTCGCCGCTCGCTCGGACACGCGCGCATGCGCCCTACACGCGACGCCGAACTGCATGGCCCTGTTCCTTCACCTGTGGGTCCCGCTCGTCAGCCAGGGAAGAAAAGAAAAGACGGAGATGCCGCTTCCCCGTCAGTCTGCCGTCTCCCTTCCGTCGTCCTCTTCGCATGGTACCCAGCCTCGCCCTCTCTACCTGCTTCCTCCGTTAGCCAGCCAAACGACGCTGCTCGGACCCCGCGCCCAACCGCTCGCCCTCGGATGCCTCTGTGTGCACGTCGCCCGGAGCCACGACTCGCCTTGCGCACACGTCGCGACACCACTGGCCTCGCGCCGCATCGCGCCCTGATTGCCCCCGCGTCGCGACCACACCACACCGCGACCCGCTCCTCTTCTCGAACCTTCCCGAGCCGTGCACCTACCCCATGCCATGGATGGACACCACGTGTCCGGCTGCCGCACCCCGATGATCGCAGCCGCCCGTAGCTCCCTGCTCTCCACGAAACCCTAGCTTCGGCCGCTATAAAAGTCACGAGCGCCGCCGCTCCTTCTCCATTCCCCATCCTCGCCGCCTTCTTCTTCCACTACTCAGCCTCCGAGCCCCACAGCACCGCGCCGTCGGAGCCTTCGAGTAGCCACGCCGTGCCCTCGCGCCCACGCCGTCATCGTCGTGCCCACGCACGAGAATGTCGTCGCGACCTCGGCGCCGAGCCCGCTTCGCCTCAGAGCAGCGCGCCTGCGCTGTGACGCCACCACCATCAAACCGGCGTCGCGTCACCACGTCTACAGCCGTGACCAGTGCCATGAGCCCCGACGCCACCAAGCCATCATGGTCATCGGAGACGAAGTGGAAGCACGCCTTCTTCTCCGCTGCGGTTCGGCACGGCACTGCGTCAACTCGACACGGCACCGAATCGCCACCGCACCACCAGCCTAACCTCACCAGCACCTCTGGTGAGCTTCCCCGGCCTTCTCCCATGTCCGCAGTACACGGAGTCGCCATGCTCATGCTGTCACGTTCTCCACACTAGGGGAGATGCGAGGCCAAGCCCTCGGTTCCACCACGTCCCACACACACACGCACGCACGGACACAGCCTGAGCGACGCCTTACCGAGCCCAACACGCTCAGGAATGCCTCTGTCCCGCACATGCACTGGGTGTGTTCGCCGTGGCCGAAGTACGGCCATGGCGGAACCATTCCACCCACTCCTCTTCGCCTCGGCTGTCGCCCTGCCCTGCTGCATAGCCGCGGAGGCCCTTGACCGCCTCTGCTCCACCCGACGACCACGGCGCCAAAGCCGAGCCCATCCCCATCGAGCTGCGTCGCCCGTGCCTCGACGTCGTGCTCTGCCTCGACGCCGAGGCAAGCTCCTCGCCGAGCCATCGCCACCTCGCCGTCGCGCTCCGCCTCGTCCCTAAGCCACCATGCCTCCAGCCGTGCCTCTACCGCCCCAGCGTTCGCGCGAACGCGAACACACAGGGCCGCTCCGCGCGAGCACGCCACCGCTCAGGACATCGTCGACCCCGAGCCGGTCACCACCAGGCAGTGGACTGCACCACGACGGCACCTGCTCCACGCCGGCGTCGTCGTGCTCTGCCACCCCCGGAGCCACGGCCAAGAGCTGCTCCTCGCCATCCTTTTCGCGTCACGCCGAGCCAGAGCCCGGGTGCCCTGCACCAGCCTCGCCAAGCCCTCCGCACCGGCCTGGACCAGCCCCTACGCGCCGTTCGGGACATCCTCGCCTAAGCCCGTCCTCTCTAGCGTTGCGCATCGTCTGCTCCTACGTCAAGGCACTGAGCCAGTGCCACTTTGCCAGACGGAGCTACGGCCCGACATGCCGTCATCTTCTCTGTGCCGCAATTGCCGTTCTTCGTCACGTGCCGAGCTCGCCATCGGCCGCGAGCAGGCAAAGGCCGCGACTTGCCGGCTGTGACCATGCCACCGAGCCGCTCTACGCCATTGGAGTCCCCTCGGCCGTGGGTTACTCCATCTCTGCCCTGTCGACACCCCGACCGTGCGTGGACGACCTCGACGCGCCGGCCCCTGCGACGCGTGTGACCTTCGTGCCTCCACCAGCAGCCCACGGATGCCGGCCCTGCTTCCTCTCCATCACCAGCCGGGGGCGCCACACCACCAACACGCGTTCGTCGCCGTGCTCTGCCTCGACTTTGCCGGCGCCGCGTCCACGCCGGGAACCAGAGCCGTGAACGCCTTCACCACCATGTTCCGGCGCACAGCAGCAGCACCTCGACGTGCCCCTATTCCCAGACTATGACCTCGTTGCATCCTCCGTTAGCGACCAGCAAGGCCATGCTGCCGGTCTCCACCGCCCAGCACCTCCGCCTCGCTGTTCTAGCTCAGCCATGTGACCACCGTCAGTGAACCTCGTCGTGACCCTGCACGCGCATAGACAACGACATTGCCAGCCGCCGCTGACTTGGCCTGGTCGGCGTAGCTTTTTCCCCCCTCCAAAGGCAAGAAGCCCAACTGGACGGTTTGCTAACCGAAAACACCAGCCCAGCACCGGCCCGTGGCCTCCCCTCTGTCTTCTTGCACGTGGGCCGTCCGGCTGCACTAAGCCCAATTCGGCCTCGAGCAAGACACTAGGCCCATTGTGCCTCTGAGCCAGCACAGTAGCAGCCCAATTGGAGCAGGCGGCCCTTTTTCTTTTTAGGAACCAATCCAGGCTTCGAAAAATCATATTAAATTCAAATGGCATCGGAAAATTGTGAAACCAGTTTAGTAATCTTTCTAAAACCGAACCCTACGAAGTGGACCAACCCTTAAGTACTTTTGACCCCTCAAAACTGAAGAGCCCACTCTTTACTTGCGCTCACACCGTTCGCGCAAGACACGTACGATACCCTGGGATGCCACCATATGATTCCAAGCACCCCTCGACCATGAACTATGACTAAGCCACTGACTCGACGCTCTTAGCCATGCCCGGCCAAGCCGTAGCCAGCCTCTGGCCAACCTTAGCCACTTGTAGCAAGCCGTAGCAAGCCACAGCTAGCCACAGCAGGCCGTAGCTGGCCTCAGCTGGCCAGATGAAGCCACAACCCTCCGGGACAAGTTACAACCGCCGCTGGCCAACTTCACTGTTGCGGAGACCCTGGGAAGCCCCATCTCACATCTTTCCATATACGCATATCTACCTTGTTGGGCCCAAACCTTACGACCTGCCTATCCATGACTGTCTTACAGGATCTATCCATCACCCAGCTATGGATTGTGCCACTCCACAGTCGTGTCGAGTTGTTGCGTCTTTTGGTCGTGTTTGGTTCTTATCACTGCTTGTTGGTGTTGTTACCTGTGTGCCGAGCCTTCGAGCTGGCTGGGGGATCGTACCTCGTTCGGACGTTACGATCGCGGGATCCATCTCGCCATGACCGTGATGCCGAGTGTAACTCAACCCCTCGCTTTTTAGTTGACTTCATAGTACCACGAGTGTTAGCTCCTGCCTTCGGCCCTAGAACATGGTCGTGATGGATTCGATGTCGATACTAACACCGATGCGGAT